CAAAAATCCACAAAAAGAAAAATAGGATGTTTCCACTTAATTTACTGGGGTAAGAGGGGTGTGCTTGTTGATTTTGTATCATTCTCACAGGCATCTTGCACAGAGACATTCAAGAGACTGCTTTTAGTCTAGAAAAATTTTTATCTTTTGTTAAGCTTGTAAATCAAGTTTTCATAATTATCTGTTTCTGGTTGCATTCTACAAGTGTAAATAATACTTTCATATTATTATTATTATTATTATTATTATTATTATTATAATTATTATTATTATTGTTTGGTAATCACCAAAAAACTTTTATCACTCCATCACAAATTTCTGAGATTTCCTAAATTTTTTTAGATTTAGATTCTATATTACTAATCATTAAGTCTCTTATGAGCAGTTATACTTCATTCTATGAAGACATATATGAAGTAATCTATGATCATGGTATTTACTCTGTATTAAGGTGAGTCTACTGATCTTGAATCAGAGGAAGAAGAAGATGACAGTGGTATTGCAAGTCAAGATGATAAAGAAGGGCTTGAAAATGGCAACAAGGGTAAAAAGCCTGAGGCTAATTCCTCAACTCAGAGCAAACAAGTGAAAACAAGAGATGATCCAGCAATGTATGAAAAGTTCTTCCAAGAAATGTTTGAATTTCAGGTAATTAGTTGTGGTTTGAAAAGGTAACATTCATCTTTTTGCAAAGTTCACTAGTAAGCAGTCATCTTGTTGGCCAAAGCAGGTTCTCTCAGCTAGTGCCAAAACATGTGTAGTATGGAGACGTCAAGATTATCACTACCAATTAGATCTGTTATCATATTTTTGGAGTATATAGTGTGTATTGCTTGCCAGCTGAGAGGTCTGTTGAGTAAAAAAGTGTAACCAAGGACACAGCATTTTTAAACCCTGAGTCACATTTCTTCACTCTTCATAGTTACTGACTCTGAGCTGGTAAATAACTAAGTATTTATATTTTCCCTCTGCAGGAAAAATAACAGAACAAGAGAAATTACTGGGTATTTGCCAAAGGCCAATTGAATAGGTTAAAATTATAGTGAGTTCATTTTTTACTAGTTTGATTGTGCAGTAAATTCTCAGAGCCAGAGAGGATTGGTCAGGGTCAACAGAGTGAAAAGGGGGGTTTATCGAAAATTGACTGCCAATTAGGAGGGGGGGGGGGTCATAAGAGTCTTATAGGGGAAACAGGTAAATTTTATGGTGACACAACCAACATTTGATCCTCCCCTCCCCCACCAATAAGTTATGAATGGTGTTTGAGCAGGGAGATATAATGTGCAGTGAACACTGCAATTTTTGACCAGTTGGAGTGTGCACAACTCTACAATCACGTACGTCATTACTCTAATAACATATAGATGAACATTTCAACATTAACCCTTTGACGTTACTTTACTTCCCCTGATCTCTCCTTCATATGAATACATGTAGATTTTATTGCTTTTTAGTTTGGAGAATTTAGATTTTTATCAAATAAACACACTTTTGGATCAATTGACCCAACAAAAAGCCCAGTGAGCGAGTTAATGAGGTGAATGTCGGGTGTGGGGAGGAGTAGGTGTGCAGTTTCTTGGATACTGACATTGATCCAATCTTTTTATGTATTCTCAACACCCACCCGCCTGCACTGCATCATTTTATGATAACTTTGAAAAGTTTAAGGTGGATGTGTAATCTTCCAAAATGAAAAGGTTGGGACACACTGCAGAGTTAAATAAAAATAGGTCCGCAATGCGTACACGTGTGGCTTACGAAATTGAGCTGCTTTTTAGTGTCTGGTGTCTCATTTGGGTTTCTATTAGAAGAGCTAATATCTGACTACCATTAGATAGTTTTCAATATTGATCCTGTTCATCCATAACACAAGATAACTAGCATGCAAAAGTCCTGAAATGTTCATTCTGAAGATGAGAGTTATTACAAACTTTTTATGGAGGTCTGATTTTGACAACAAAGGTTGCAAGAAAAAACATCAGCATAATCTCTCCTAGTGGTCTGATAGATTCAGTCACGATTATGTTTACGTAACGAAGTGGAATTGACTCCTGAGGTTTGTAGGTTGATTGTCTTTTCCAAGGAAAGTGATGTAAAATGAACTCTAGGGAAGAATTTCATATGAATATTTTTTACATTTTTTGTACCAGTACAAAAGGACAAAAGTTTGCAGAAGGGCAGGGACATTCGGGAAATGATGTAATCTACACTAGATGCCATTGGGAGCTTGATTTGGTTTGAATGTATGACTAATTTTGGACAATACATATATGTAAAGTAACACAATGCTGAGTGTAGGTTTCTTTTTTCCCATAAGGGCATAAAGTTCAACTTTCAGTTGGTTGAGAGCAAAACGTTTACTATAATTATTGTATTTAGGTTTTGTGGGACTTTATTTTCAATAAAGAACACAGAAAAATTTAGTTGAGGTAGGTAGATATGAGGTTGCAAATGGAAGAGTCTAGGGAAAAAAGATAGGTGATACTCTGAAATAACATTACATTAACGTTGCTAATAATTTTTAACCCAATAAGATTTACAATTTAACCTGGAGGTTTTATTTAACAGAAAGTTCAGTAGAGATAGAGTGTCACCATAATAGATTTCAGTAACAGTAATCAGAGACAACTTACACACAGCTGAGTTCAATGTACAGGGAAGGGCATGATGGTATCATATGATTTAAACTTCCAGAAACTTTCAAGTTTTCTTATTATTGAAATTGTAATTTCGTGCCAGTGAGTCTATCAAATTCAAGTTATGTGGAGAAATGAATAGGTGAACTTGACATCATCATGCAAATGGTCAACTTCACATCATCATGCAAAGTGTTAATCTACCATAGAAAAAGGTCCAAAACAAACACGGTAAGAAACTGAACTTCACGTATCACTTTGTGTTAGAGCACACAAGAGGACTTGTGAGACCTGCTTCACTCTCATTTGCCAGAAGAAGATTGAATTCCAGGTACCAATCAAAATTCAGAATGACTGTGACAGTTTGGAACTGATCTGTTAAGACTTTGCTTTTAAGGGGTCTACAGATGTGATTAGAACCCTGGGTCTCCGAGGATACCTGATGGTTATCCAATCCACATCAAGTAGCTCTAACTTTTAACTATAGACGTAACAAATGTCAGTTCCATTGAACTGTCTTTATAAAAACTCGACAAAGTTTAATTTAAGTTAATTTAAGTGTACTTTGGTATTCTAAATAAGCAGAAGTAAATTTTTCACAAACAACAAATGTTGAGCTCATAGCGTGTGTGCAGTTTAAAGTATTTAAAAAATTTACAAGTGCTTATCATATGAGAAATCATGTTATTAAGAACAAGTCTCTGTAAGAATCAAACATCTTGGGAAATGAAAATTTTCAAGCCCCTTCAAATTTTGCATGCAGTTAGGCGCCCAGGGGGATGCACAAAAATGCCCTTCTTAAAGGTCGCAGCACTCTTGTTGCCATGGTAACAACGACTGCTTGTTCGAGGTCTGGGGCCTCATTGTCAAAAAAAAACGTCGCAAAAAAAAGAGTGAAATGCTTATTTCTCTATCTGAAGCTAAATACAACATTACAAATTGAATTGGCACTTCTACCATGCATAGTGACATCATTCGTCTTCAGATTGGTTTATTCAATTTTCCCAGGGAATGAATGTGAACACACCAGTAGATTATTTATCTCGCTACAGTTTCGGTCATTTTTGTTGTCGGGTAAAACTGGGATAACGTTTATCTGAATTTCTCCAAAAGTTCACCGGATTGACGTTGTCCAAATGGATTTGAACAACCGCGGCACGTGCAAATTCCGGAGAAACTTACTCGAGCTTTAAACCTAAACTCAGCTTTTTAGACTTGTTACCGAAAGGAAAAAACATTAAATAATATTCTGACATTACAGAAACACAAGGTTGAATGAATAACTTTAAATGCAGTCATACGATTTCAACAATTTTGGGTGTCTTCTGGCACTGTCCCATCTGTTGTCTTCATGTCCAAAAAGGCAAAAATTTGTTAATGGTGTCTATATGACAAAAAAGCAAAATGTTGTTAATGGTGTCTATAGTGTAGACATCTGATCATCACAACCAATCATGTGGAATGTACAATTCAGCGTCTGGTCCATCCAATATTTTTGCTCGCGCATGAATGGCTGGTCTAAATGCATTACGTGACCAAATAGTCCCCATCTCAGCTGGGGGTATAATTTTCAAAGCTTAGCTCCAGTACGCTAATTCTCCGTTTAAAGTTTAATTCAAGACGAGAGAGCGTTTTATGGTGGTTACAGAAAAAGGAAATATTCATTCGTTCACAAGACGAAAAGACAAGACGAAAAAACTTCTTTCTTGATGTTCAACGTTATTTTTAAATCAAAGTTTTCCTCCCTACACCTCTAAAACATTTAAATTTGTTTATCCTTCGTGCTACATTTACTAATATGATCTTCTGAGGCTCCCAACTATTGCCCTAATTTTTGTGTGGCTTACACAACCTGTGTAGCCACATTATGGCACGATCGGCTTTATTTACTTGTCCACGAGAGTCGAGCGCCTGTCACGTGGTCTAGTATCATTGTATCGTACGGGGCACTAGTCTGAGTCAGCCATCTTGATTGTAAGCGTGGTCTCGAGTAATTTTTTCCAGGCGATCGTATCACGAGTTAGTTCTCCTCACACAAGCCAACACACACAGACCCGGCTTGTGTTATAAGTGCAGCTTGTGCAAGAGCTTTTACCCTCTTAAAAGACAATATTTAACAGGTTGAATCTTCGGTACGGGTTGTACCACACTGACAGGAGTCATTGCACTTTCGCAAGCCAACAATTATCGGCTTGATCTATCGGTGCGGGTTGCACCACCGAGTGTCTGAAAGTGTTTGAAAGTGTTTTAAAGTGTCTGAAGCCACCTGAAAGTGCCAGAAAGTGAAATAAGGTGTATTGCAGTTGCTTTCTCCTTGCACTGTTGAGAATTCACGGAGGCATATCTCAAAACGAAAAAGTAAGTATGGGAATCTCGATTGAACAATACCGGTCAAGTATTGGCTCTCATGACAATTTCGTGAAAACCAAGGATATCTTATCACGTTTAAATGATCATTGTTGGAGTTTAATGTTTGTGATGTTCTATTTAAATGTCTTTTACTTGCCAGTATTGAAACAAGTTGTTGGACAACACAAAATGTGGAATGATGTGATGTTTTGGTTTTCACAAATGATTTTCTACAATGCCTATATTCCATTGCTTATAAGGCAGGCAAATGATGTAGAGGAGAATCCAGGCCCTACAATATTTGATGTCATCGATCCAACAAGAACAATATGTGCTGACTACAGTCAAGGAAATGAAGCTCTCTTTTGTGAAAATGCTGTAAGCGATGTGTAGCAATGTCACTTACTGCTATTATGTATCATTACATAGAAGATATCAGTTTGTGGACTTCTTCCCTTTTGAATAATATTCTTACCATTGGAAATATTTTGTATACTTCTATAAAATGTTCTGTCCAGACAAATGATTATTTGCTTTTAACTGATGTTCCATGCATTGTTTCAATGTACAATAATGTATACACATTAGAATATAGTGAGTCATTAACAGGAAGTTTGTTCATGACATCAAATAATGGGCCATACATGTCTCTTCAAAATTCTGACAGAAGTGTTTTCAAATTGTCAACTTAACTACAAGTGTTGTTTGTTAACGATTGGAATAAATACTGTTGCAGTGATTAAGAATCCAGAACAAAGCTTTAAAATTTTTGATGCTCATTCCAGGGATTTGCATGGGATGCCCCACTCATTTGGGAAATGTACTTTGCTTACCATTGAAGGAATTGAAAGCCTTGTATCATATTTGAACATTTCCTGCTTACAAATAGGGTTTGTTCCTTTTGAAATTGAAATTGTTCCTTTTGAAATTAAAGATGATGAACTTGATTTGCAAAATGTTCACGAGAGTCCAAAAATTGAACATTGGCCTTTCAGAAATAAAAGAAACCAAACACAACATATGAAAAGGAAGCAAAAGTCTTTAACTGAAACGCCAGAAGAAAAAGAAAAACGAGTGATTGCTAAACATGAATATGAGAAATGAAGAAGGGTAAATGAAAGTGAGGGATCTAGGGAAAAGAGGCTGGCCCAGCAGCGTCTGACCAGGGAAAAGAAATGTGCAAACGAATCTTCTGAATCAAGAAAAAAAGGGGGTTGGCAAACCCAATCTCAGTATCAGAGACAAAAAATTGCAAATGAATCAGCAGAATGTAGAGAGGAGAGACTGTTAAACCAACGTCAATATCAGAATGAAACTAGACGCATAATTGTGTTCACCCAGGCTTTCTATTGGAAATAAACTTTGTTTTTTGTGCTTGCATTTGCCTAAGTTTTTATACAATTATTGGTTTATCCTGTAACTGTTTTTGTGTGGTTTTTTGAAGTGTGAACCACACTGTGTCGTGATCCAAGATACTTATTCCTCGCTGGATCTATCACGGTGAACAGAGTGCTTGTCACGTGGTTTATTATTGTCGAAGATAGGTTCCAGTCTATGCTTGGCTAAGTTACCTAAGCTTCAAAGCTTCAGAAAGCGACCATTTTGCAATGGTGACTGTAACACGCTGTCAAAGATCGTTTTTTTATCTAGTTTTTCATTCATCTTTGTTGCTTAGATTTCACACGCCGGCTTTCTTACAGTCGGCTTGTCTTCTAAGTGCGGATTACAGCGTGGAGTTGTGCTCTCACAGGCCAACATTTCATGGTCTGGACCTTTAGTGCAGGTCGTGCCACATTGAAACTTAGGAGTCATTATTGACTCTCTTTGCGGCCACATTTCACATAAGTCATTTACTGGAACATTTTTTATCCTGAATTTCTGTTAATACCACATGCTCAGTGAGAAAATTACTTAACCAGCCTTTTTAGTAGATGCAAAGATAAATTTTGGTTAAGCTGCAATATACCTTACCACCCATGGCGTTACATGTCACTGAATACGAATAGAATAAACCATTTTTAGCCAGTAGTGAAAATAGGACTTTTTTGTTGCCATTAGAAAATCAAACACTGCTGTTGTCTGGAAATTCAATTTGACGGCCTCATTAAATGAAATTATACTTTCATGTTTTCATAGCTAAACCAATAAAAGTCACAAACATCTAATGCCTAACCTGAAACTGCAGTTTGTCGTTAACAAGGTGCTAAATGTCTATCGTGATTGTTTCCAAACTTTGGGGAGTAATCTATTGAAACTCAGTAACAAAGTGGTTTTTCTTTTATTAAAACATGAATAGAAGCCCAGTGCTTTAATGTTAACTGAAATGTGATTAGTGTTATGTTTTCCAAGTTATGACCAGAATTATTCAGACCTTAACATCTCATGACTTCCTTCAAGCTTGGCAGTCTTCTAGATTCTCTTCATACTTCAAAAAATTACACTTTTTTGATTGGCTGAAAATAGCTAGGTGCCTTTTTCATTTATCATTAGTGAAAAAGTAATAACTCATGTACAAAATAATATAAACTAGGCTCAGCAACAATAGATCACATTAGAAACCAATCAGATTTATACAAAGTAGGTTCTGATTGATACATGCAGTAGCTGACAAAAATGAACAAAAGCTTGGATACTTTTATGTATATTGATAAACACTAAAAAATTGCATTCCTGAGTAAGAACTCGGCTGAAGGACAAATTTTGATGGCACAAACTTCATTTAGTCAGTACTGTCAAATTTATCTGCCATCAGTTTGTTGATTTCCAGTAAATGTGTATCTTTCATGTATACATTATGAATAATTAATAACATGATTTCTCATATGATAGGCACCCGTAAATTTTTCAAATACTTTAAACTGCACACACGCTATGAGCTCAACATTTGTTGTTTGTGAAAAAATTTACTTCTGCTTATTTAGAATACCAAAGTACACTTTAATTAACTTAGCTTAGACTTTGTTGAGTTTTTATGAAGACAGTTCAATGGAACTGACATTTGTTACGTTTATAGTTAAAAGTTAGAGCTACTTGATGTGGATTAGATAACCATCAGGTATCCTGGGAGACCCAAGGTTCTAATCACATCTGTAAACCCCTTAAAAGCACAGTCTTAACAGATCAGTTCCAAACTGTCTTGGTCATTCTGAATTTTGATTGATACCAGAAGTTCAATCTTGTTCTGGCAAAGGAGAGAGAAGCAGGTCTCGCAAGTCCTCTTGTGTGCTCTAACACAAAGTAATACATGAAATTCAGTTGCTTAACATGTTTGTTTTGGACCTTTTTGTACAGTAGATTAGCATTTTGCATGATGATGTGAAGTCGACCATTTGTATGATGATGTCAAGTTCACCCATTCATTTCTCCACATAACATGAATTTGGTAGACTCGCTGGCATGAAATTACAGTGTCAACAATAAGAAAACTTGAAAGCTTCTGGTAGTTTAAATCATATGATACCATCATGAACTTGCCTGTAAATTGAACTCTGCTGTGTTTAAGTTATGTCTCTGATTACTGTTCCTGAAATCTATTATGGTGACACTCTATCTCCCTTGAACTTTCTGTTAAATAAAACCTCCAGGTTAAATTGTAAATCTTATTGGGTTAAAAATTATTAGCAACGTTAATGTAATGTTCAGAGTACTTAGCTCAACATATGATTCATTAAAGTATTGCTTGTGCTCTGATCTTGTAATGCACCTATCTTTTTTCCCTAGACCTGTGTTCTTTATTGAAAATACAGTCCCACAAAACCCAAATACAATAATTATAGTAAACGTTTTGCTCTCAACCAACTGAAAGTTGAACTTTATGCCCTAATGGAGAAAAGAAACCTACACTCAGCATTGTGTTACTTTACATGTATGTATTGTCCAAAATTAGTCATACATTCAAACCAAATCAAGCTCCCAATGGCTTCTAGTGTAGATTACATCATTTCCCAAATATCCCTGCCCTTCTCCAAAGTTTTGTCCTTGTGTACTGGTCCACAAAATGTCAAAAATATTCATATGAAATTCTTCCCTAGAGTTCATTTCACATCACTTGCCATGGAAAAGACAATCAACCTACAGACTTCAGAAGTCAATTCCACTTCATTACGGAAACATAATCATGACTGAATCAATCAGACCACTATGGGAGATTATGCCGATTTTTTTCAGTTCCTTAAATCCTCGGGTTACATGTGCAACCTTTGTTGTCAAAATGAGACCTCCATTAAAAAGTTTGGCCAATGACTCTCATCTTTGGAATGAACATTTCAGGACTTTAGTATGCTAGTTATCATGTGTTATTGATGAACAGGATCAATATTGAAAACTATATAATGGTAATCAGATATTAGCTCTTCTGATAGAAACCCAATAAGACACCAGACACTAAAAAGCAGCTCAGTTTTGTAAGCCACACATGTACGCATTGCGGACCTATTTTTTTTTTTAAAGATGACAACCAGAGGCAAGATTTCTCTTTGGGATATTGCTCATAAGATAACATTCTTTCAAAGCCTGGCATGTGTCATTTGTGTGAAACATTTGTTGTTGAGAACAGAGCAATCTATTGGTGTGTTCACATTCACTCCCTGGGAAAATTAAATGTATCAAAGTGAAGACAAATGATGTCACTATGTATGGTAGAAGTGCCAATTTGTAATGTATTTATCTTGAGATAGAGAAATAAACATTTCACTCTTTTTTTGCAACATTTTTGTATGAAAATGAGGCCCCAGGCTTCGAACAAGCAGCCATTGTTACCATGGGAACAAGAGTGCTGCAACCTTTCAAAAGGACATTTTTGTACATCCCTCTGAGCGCCTAACTGCATGCAAAATTTGAAGGGGAGTTGAAAATTTTCATTTCCCAAGATGTTTGATTCTTACAGACTTGTTCTTAATTATTCATAGTGTATACATGAAAGATACACATTAACAGGAAATCAACAAACTGATGGCAGATAAATTTGACAGTATAGCCTTAATGAAGCGTGTGCCACCAAAATTTGTCCTTCAGCTGAATTCTTACTCAGGAATGCAATTTTGTTAGTGTTTATCAATATGCATAAAAGTATCCAAGCTTTTATTTATTTTTGTCAGCTACTGCATGTATCAATCAGAACAACCTACTTTGTGTAAATCTGATTGGTTTCTAATGTGATTTATTGTTGCTGGGCCTAGCTTATATTATTTTTGTACACAAGTTATTACTTTTTCACTAATGATAAATGAAAAAAGGCACCTAGCTATTTTCAGCCAATCAAAAAAAGTGTAATTTTTCATGTATATCAGTATTGTGATGAATTCCCCAAAGATAGCAACCAAACAAGTAACTGAAAAGGAGTTTTAGTCTTCTAAATAAAGGCCTAATACACATGTTTTGCTACCAAGTATAGATAAAAATGCTTATCTGAACCATTATGAAGAGAATTTAAAAGATTGCCAAGCTTGAAGGAAGTCATGAAATGTTAAGGTCTGCATAATTCTGGCCATAACTTGGAAAACATAACACTAATCACATTTCAGTTAACATTAAAGCACTCGGCTCCTATTCCTGTTTTAATACTGAATTCCAATGGATTACTCCCCAAAGTTTGGAATCAATCACAATAGACATTTAGCACCATGTTAATGACAAACCGCAGTTTCAGGTTAGGCATTAGACGTTTTTGACTTTTATTGGTTTAGCTATGTAAACATGAAAGTATACTTTCATTTAAAGAGGCTGTCAAGTTGAATTTCCAGACAACAGCAGTGTTTGATTTTCTAATGGCAACAAAAAAGTCCTATTTTCACTCACTGGCTAAAAATTGTTTATTCTTTTCGTTTTTGATGACATGTAATGCCATGGGTGGCAGGGTATTCTGCAGTTTCACCAAAATTTTATCATAGCATGTAATAAAAAGACTGGATACCGGTAAGTAATTTTATTACTGAGCATGTGGTATAAACAGAAATTCAGGATAAAAAACATTGTGGTAAATGACTTATGTGAAATGTGATGGCACAGAGAGTCAATAACAACTCCTAAATTTCAATGTGGCACAACCTGCACTAAAGGTCCAGACTGTGAAATGTTGGCCTGGAGAGCACAACTCCACGCTGTAATCTGCACTTAGAAGACAAGCCGACTGTAGGAAAGCTGGCATGTGAAATCTAAGCAACAAAGATGAACAAAAAAATAGAAAAAAAAACAATATTCGACAGCGTGTTACAGCCACCATTGCAAAATGGTCGCTTTCTGAAGCTTTGAAGCTTAGGTAACTTAGCCGAGCGTAGACTGGAACCTAT